TGAACAGGTGGACAGCCGTCTGCACTGGACCTTATGAAACGACAGGGTCAGATGCACAGCAGGGCAGCCCCCTGTTGGTCAAAAGGCAACAATTCACAAATGACGATATTCATTTATGCACCTACAAAATCAGTCAGTGCTGTTTTTCTCACACGACACTTTGTAAGAAACAAGGGAGCAAAAGTCCTTGTTAGGAAGGACAGTCAGGTGACTTCCATAATTAGTATTAATTTGTTACACCCACCCCCCCCACACACACACACACACACACCTATGGTTTGCTTTGCGTATATTTGTCTGTCCCGTTTTGTTCAGTTTCGTTTCGGCCACTGCTGCATCTCCAAGCAGAATCTGTTCTCAGCATGAGGCAAAAGCACGGGTCAAGTAATCTGTGTGTTTAACCCCAACCCAAATATCACTATTACATTTATTTGCACCACAGAGGCCTTGATGTTTTCTCTATCAGCAACCAGAATCTCAAATGTTCATGCAAAGGGAATCCCAAAAAAAAGACTCAGTTACACAGTCCCCTGGTCATGTGACGCTGATCTCCAACAGAAACATGGCAGTTAATAAATTTCTTAGCTTCATCTTTCTGTGAGCAACTGATACTGTTCTACCATTAGTAGCATTTGCTACAGTCAGGCCCCTTCTGTTAAGTATGTTACATTTCACGTTATAAACTTTCTTTGAAGCCTTTGTGGTCGATCCAAATTGAAGTCTAAGAGCCTAGACTTTAAATGCATCCTATAAATTGCAATCACTCTGCGTTTGGCATGGAGACAGTAAAATTAGACCTACATTCTTTCTACAATACATTTAATTTTGAAAGACTAGAGCAGCATTTTGGAAGTGGATATGGTGAGTTATTTCAGCGTACCTAAAAAAAAACCTTCACACAAGCAGATAATGCTTGTCTGCTAGATGCCAGTGATCACTCAGGTCTGTGAAATGCGTTGAAGTCCATAGTTTAAAATGAAGGTTTTGATAAACTTTAAGAACGAACCATTTCTCTTTGGACTCTTCTATTCCAGTAAGAATGTGTTTTATGAAACAGAAGGGAGCCTGATGAATAATCCATGAGGATTCTCAATGGCAGACAGTGTACATGGACAATTTTTTTGTGCGACTGGGTCCCATGTAACCAAATGCCTCTCTGGGTGAATATTTTGGGAAGGTGTGGAATGCAACAACTGGGAAATGATGACCCACTTAACGAAAATAGCCACGGTCTTACTGGAAATGTGTTGGCACAACGGCGCAGTGAGGTCAGGTCCATACAGAAAACCTCACGTCAGGTCACAGCATAGTCTGAAACCTGGCCGCAGAGAATGTTTATATATCGATGGTTTACGGTCTGGGCAGGACGGCGGTTTAGAGGTTAGAAAGACTGTGGGTCTGATTCCTGTCCCCGATCCAGCCTCGTGGCTTTTCTCCAAAACATGTTGTCACGATCCGCTCCGTTCGATCCCGATGTGTGCCACTCCCCCTCATTATCCACGTGTGCTTCCCCGATCGTGCCCAGCTGTTCCTTGTTATTTCGGCTTGTCTTCTGTATTTAGTCCGTGTCTGAGTCAGTCTTCCCCAGATCCGTCATTAATGTTCATTAATGTTTGTTGTTGCCTTGGTTCTGTCCAGTAAAACCCGTTTGCCTGCACTTCCGGCTTCGCTTGCCTGTTTGCCCGCTTGCCGGCACGCACGAAACGCAACACATGTGGTTAGGTTACCTGGTGCCTTCAGTGTGTGAGTATGTGCTCTGTGATGAACCACCATCCCAGCCAAAGTGTCTCCTGACTTCTGACCTGTGCTCCTCGGCTTGGCTGTAGATTCTTTGCTGCCCTGTATTAGATACGTGGTTTGGAAAATAGATGGATTTCGTAGCGTGATATGTAGGACCTCTGAAACCGGTGATTGAGGCTGATATCATTGCCATTACAATTTCATTTATCAACTACAAGTTAACATTTGACATTTTGAGCGACTGTAGAGTTCACTGTAAATGTCATTTGAAAAGTATACTGTATGTTGGTGCATATTCATGGAAAAAACTCCAGGTGAATTTATTGATGGGCCAAATAGCTTGGCTTGATCCAGCCAGTCTTATACTCATCCCTTGATGACTATTATGGGCTTGTTAATATGAAGAAGGTGAGAGGCAGCCAGTTTAAGTTGAACCATTTGGGCCTTAAGGCTGCAGATTACCCTTCCAGTACAATCCCTGCTCAGAGTGCCTCAGCTTCAATCTACCCATTAAAATATCCAACT